TTCCCAAAGGGAATGCAGTGTATTTGCATCATTCTCCTCGGCAGTTAACCTTTTACATTTCATGTTTATGACATTTCTGTCAGGCACTCTGTGTGCTCCAATTAAAGTCAGAGGTCTTTGGACACAGTTCAAGAAGTACAGTGTCTGGATGGGAGCGTGGCGCAGGGCAGTTTGGCTAAGGGAGGTCATGGACAACTGCAGGGTAGCTGGATAGGAAAGAAGAACCCAGGATGTGAACAAGTTGCTGGGGGCATACCTCCTATGGAGGCTTATTGGAGGTGTCATTTTGGGTGTGGGCTATTGAATAGAGGAGAGCAAGGAAAGTGTTAGGACAAGATTTCCAAACCAGGATATAAATTCGTGCACATGGATATTTGGACTGAAAATCAGTGCACCTGTGCCTACAATCAGGCAGTAAATGGTTCAGTGGTCTCAGTAAGAGCAGGGCTCATTTGGGAGGCAAATTGAAACTCTGTTTAAGCAAAGTGATTCAGAAGGAGATGTTCAGTATAGCCTTCCCCTGGGAACATTTCCTCCTAAGGTATTAATCAGGGCACCAGGCAAAATACTCCACAATATTGTTCCAAAGCTAAGAATGTAACTCAGAGACAGAAACCATGGAAACCCACTTATTTTCTGAAATGTTGCCTCTCTTTGGAAGAGAAGACGACAGGATGAATAAGCAGATATGCTTTACTTAAAGGTTATGCGTGAGTCAGGGTACCCTCTGAATATCTTTAATATGTTAAATATTCAGGTAAATGTCTACATAAAGTGGTACACATAAAAGTGAAATTATAGCATAGATTGGAAATTTAAAAATTGCTATAAAAGTATAGAGTTTACAGAATTTAACATTTGTAAAAAATTTCTGCAGGATCTGAGGCGCAATTTTATTTTTATGATTAGAACTTTTAATTAGGTTTAAAATCCTGGCTCTTTACGTTTAGCTGTATGACCCAGGGTGAGTTAGCCTCTGTAAGTGTCAATTTTTCTCATCTGTTTAATGTTACCTACCTAATAGGGTAGTGGTGATAATTCAGTGAAATCATATACATGAAATGTTTAGCACAATGCCTGGTCCACAGCAAATGTTCCACAAAAATTAACCGCTATGGTAGCATTCTAGCCTTTAAACCATAAAAAAAATCATAGATTATTTCCAAGTGGAAATATACTCATTGGTTAGTCTTCTCAGTTTACTCCAAGAGAAACACTCTTTGTACTAGCATAAAGAAAGGAGAGCACTTGGCCAAAAAATAAAAATACCTGGATAAAGATCCGTGCAGTGTTGTTCTTCTAATTTCACCTTTTGGTAAGGACTAGTATTTAACATTTTTTGTACACCTACCATGTGTCAGGCACTCTATATTCACAGCAGTCCTATGAAGTGGCTGTAACTGTCCCACATTAGAGGCAGGGAAACTGAGGCTCAAAGAAATGAAAGAACATGGCCAAGCCTATGTACTAAGTCAGCAAAACAGGGATTTGAATGCCAGAGGCAATGCTGTTTCAGTTCATCTCACAACGCTTTGCAAGTAGAAAGAAAGAAAGGTTCATGGGCAAAGTCTGGCCCTGCTATGGACTCCACGGTAGTAGCAATATTTCTATTTTGATCTTCCCATTAAAGTCTTATCCTGTAGCTGAGGGGCCTGGCAGAGTGGCAAATGTCACCCTCGAGCAGGCACGTAAGTCAAGTGATAAATCACATTCAAAGTTTGAGTTACTTTCCCTGCTTAGGGATTGTGAGTGGCTCTCCCTAGTTCAACTTCATCAGTTGGCTCCATTGCTACTCAGTGCTAACAGGAAATTGTACTGATTTAGCTGGTAATAAGAGCTTCTCAAGCACTGTGGGTACTTGTTTAGGAGAAAGATTGAATTTAAAAACATGCACCTGAATTTTTTTTTTTTTTTTTTTTTTTAGCAGCTTTACAAACATCTGAGGAGAAAATGTTCCGTTATCAGATAAAGCTGCTTTGACAATGTGGTTTTTATAATGCTGGGCAGTAGGGGAAGTTGCTGAATACAGACAAGGCATAGTTATTTTTTCTCTTCGTGTGTTGCTTTGGAACATTCTGTTATTTTTATATTTTTAAGCAGATAAACATGCCTCTATAGGTCACAAGAAAACAAATTCTTTATTTTTTTTTTTTGCAAATACATCTTTTCAGGATCATTCCTTAAACAAAGCAGTTTGCTGATTATTAGAGATACTTGTCTGTGTTAGGTGTTTTACTATTTCTAGAGTATTTACATTTACAGCTCTCCTTTCATTTTTCAGCTGAAGAGCACTGAACCTGGCCTGCTTTGAAATCTAAGTCTACCCTTTACTGACTCTGTGACCTTAATTAAGTCACTTTCTCTCGCTGCGCCTATTTCCTCATCTGTGAAATGGAGGTGTTGGTGCTTTCTTTCTAGGATTGTTGTTTTTAATGACTTAATGTAAGTGCAAGCGCTTCGTAAATTATACAAGTTCCTTTAAAAATGAACCACTACTGTTACTATTACTTACATTTAAGGACTAAACTAATTTGGTGTTCACAAGGAGTATTGATGGATTCATAGCATCATGAAGATCTAAAAGTTGTAGTGAGATGCGAGAAATGGGTAATGAACAAACGTGTAATCAGTAATTTACTAAAGAGAATAGGGGGACATAGAAGGAGATCCTGTGTGGTTGGAGCTTTTTGGAGAAAGGAGAGCAAAGGGACAGAACATACTTCAAAGATTTTCTATAAGAGAGATACCTTTCCAGTCCACAGAGGATGCTGTGTGCCATCATTTTACAGGCACTGTGGAGTAGTCAAATGGGTCAGTCCCTGACTGCCCACTTCCTAGTTGTGTGAATTCCTTAACTTCTCTGAAAGAAGTGAAGGTAACAACACTTACCCTCGCCGGATTATGAAGATTAAATGGGACAATACTTGTAAAGTGCCTGGTGTATGCTATGGCTTATTAAATATATATCTCTCTTCATCTCCCTCCTCCTTCTCCTTTTTAATTTTTGGTTAGGAAGGAGCTCTAACTAGACAAGCCACTATCAATACTACTAGGAGCTTATGTGCTTCTCAGAGCATTCAGGCAAGGCCTAAAAGCAATCAGTAGAGTCCTGGTTAATACTAGGATTACTCAGAATGCTGCCCAAGCCTGTTAATGGAGTTTGAGTATATGTAGCCACTTCCATTATCATCAGATGCAGAGAAAGTTGTAAGTGTTCAGTATGTGGAAAGACTCTAAAAGGAGGTTTTGAGGGGAAGCAAGTAGGTGTCTGTGCAGTAGGAAAGGTTTGCAGGGATTAAATTCAGGACTTCTTCAGAGATAAGGGTTCTGTGTTGAGGAATGAAGAAAGTAATCACCCACTTATGCTGGGATCTTGGTAAGAAAGTCTTGTTAAGGGATGCCTTGATAAGAATTGAGTTTTCCAAACCATAGAGCTGATTTATTGGGTTATTTTAAAAGTATTTATTATCCACTATTTAGAAATCTTTGAGTAAACAACTGAGGGGTTTATAAATGCAAACATTTCAATTATATAACCTTTTAAGAATTGTTAATTTCAAAAACATCTAGATAAGGATGAGCAGTCAATGCTTTTAGCTATTAAATATACAAGTGCTTACAATTAATCAAGTAAAATGGAAATCATTTGAAGAGAGGAAGCCTTTTTTCACATTGTCAGTTTTAAGCCTAATGAGATCTGTTTGTATAACGCAGTGAGTATGGACAAAATGTGGTCGTAGCACAGCCACCAAATACTTTTGTGTTTCAGATCTTTTCTATAGTCCTCACTAAAGGCAATACATTAAAGCAAATGAGGTTTTGAAAGTTGTCTATATTCAAAGATGGGTAGACTTTAATTTGTTGTCATGGTTATAACACAAGAAATTCCATCTTTTAAATGTTTTCCCTGTGTGGGTTAGAAAATGATTCTGACTTTTCCCGTATCTGTTTCTTTTGTGTTTTTTTTGCATGTGATAATACTAATAATCCCATCTTACATTTAAGCTTTCCGGTTTTTTCATGTCCATCACCTTATTTCAAGCCAAGATAATTTTAGAACATTACTTCTTACACCAGCAGTTGCCTGACTGTACTGATCTCACAAATTAAGCAGGAAAGGATGTTGAGAAATGAGGTGAACACCTGTGAGCAAATCATCAAAGAATTAGAAGAGGGAAACTGTGAACAGAGTATTCCTATAGAACCTTCTTTCCAAAATATAATGGTTGTGACTGGGGAGGGCCTGAGAGAAATATGATGGAAGGACAGGGTAAACACACCTGTAGGCTTGTCACCTGTCCTAAGGTGAGAGTAGGGGCTGGGGCTGTGAAGAAGGACTGTTGTTTGCGTACCTACCATGCGCCAGGTAGGTGCTGGTAGTTTAGCACACATATTTTTTAAAAGGTAGGCATTGTTACTACCATTCTGCAGGAAATAGGCTCAGAGAGGTATAAGTAAGTCATCAATATGCATTTAAAAAGAAATCTAGTGTTGCTATACTCAGGTGATATTTATAGTCAAATTTCTATTGTGGCCTTCTGGTGCGTTTCCTTAGTCTTTTTTAGAAATTCATATGGAATTTCTAAAGGCTGACCGTGGTGGCTCACACCTGTAATCCAAGTACATTGGGAGGCCGAGGCAGATGCATCACTTTGAGCTCAGGAGTTCTAGACCAATCTGGGCAACATAGTGAAACCCCGTTTCCACAAAAATACAAAAATTAGCCGAGAATTGGTGGCAGATGCCTGTAGTCCTAGCTACTCAGGAGGCTGAGGTTGGAGAATCGCTTGAGTCCCAGGAGTAGAGGTTGCAGTGAACCAAGATAGTGCCACTGCACTCCAGCCTGGGTGACAGTGTGAAAGCCTGCCTTTAAAAAAAAAAAAAGAAATTCAAATGGAAGATTTTATTATGCCCCTGAAAGTGAGAATGGCATGTCTATGTACAACATGGGACAAAGTCAAAATAAAGGTAGTTGTGGAGCATCTCAGTGAGGGCCATACCTGAGGATACTTTGTTCTAGAACCTGGATCTGGTGCTGGTCTTGTTGATTTTGCTTCTTCATCTCTTCCTGTTCTTTTCCGCTGCTGATTCCATCTAGAAGCCATTTCTCCCTCAAGGCCTTTTTCTGATGTCAGGAAACATAAAGATATATTCTTATATTGGTCAATAATTTCCAAAATCTCTTACTGCTTTCAAATCTTATGAATTTCAATAGGTGACGCGTTAAAGAGGAATTATTTTCTCTCAGTGACTTGCCTGAATAAATCTGGTATTTTCTATCATTGTAACCTTCTTGACTCTATTCAAAGCCAGTGTTTATGCATCTAAATCCCATTTATACTTCAAGGTTTAGTTTGGGTCTCTCTTTCGGCATGAAGATCCCTGGCCCCCATACTCCTGGCAGCCCCATCCTGACCCTCACTTTCTGTCTTCAGAACCATGCCATACTGTATGTTTATCACAGTTATAATGAGACCTCATAATATGATGTCTTCAGTGTCACCTGTTATTGATTGGTATATATCTTGTGTCCTTAACAAAGTCAAAAGCTTCTTGAAGCCATTTTGATACCTCCCCCCGGTAAGAGCATGCATGACTACTTTAAAAAAATCTTTAGTGGTATTAATCAGAATGGTGGGCAAAACTGAAGGTCACTGTTGTACCTTAAACATATTCAATGTTATTCTTAGGCTGTGTGGCAGCTGTTTATTGTTTAGCCTACTTAGCTCCCCTTCTTTCTTCTCAGAATCTCCCTGGTTATAGACATTCTTAAGAATTTACTGATCTATCTAAACGTTGGTGAGTTTTTGTCAACTTTAACAACATGCAAAAAATTATGTTTCACCAGATGGAACAAACAAAAACTGCTCTTGAATTTGCATGAGGAAATTAAACTCCTGGACCTGGAGTTTAAAGACCTAAGAAAACCTAAAACAAATGAAAAAGACCTCTAAATGTTGGATGGGCTTTAATTAGCATGTAGCCTACATCTCAATTAGGAAGTGTTAGATATATACGGTCATGTTATTTTCAAGGAGCTCAAGTTTCTCTTTTTCTCCTGGAATGAAAGGGCTCTTATTATGTATCTAATCTGCCCTATAAATTGTTTGTTCAGTTATTCATTGTTAATTATTCATTGGGGATTCACTATATTTAAAATCCGTGAGGAGAGAATGGAAACTTTATTTTCTGGGACTTCTTTCTCTTATATTGAAATTTAAATGAGAGTAAATAAGAATAACTTTGTGTGTGTGTGTGTGTGTGTGTGTGTGTGTGTGTGTGTGTGTGTGTGTGTTTAAGGATGCTAGAATAAATACCATTGAGATACAAGTATCTCTGAATTAAAAAAAACATTTAAAATTAAGTTTAGTTGTGATAGGTAATTACCAAAGGATGGTTATTTTTTACTAAGGCAATGACTTTTAAATCTTTTTCTCTTTTAAAAAAAGCCAATATAACATTATAACTTATAACATTACAAATAAATGTTATATGGAACTATAGTTTGGAAAACAGATGAATTCTGGACCTCTCTAATTGAAGCGGTGAGGGGGCCTGAAAGCTTATGGATACACAGAACATGGTTTGAAAACCACTAGATTAAGTAAATAACAGCTTCACCCCTGATTGTCACATTTATGTTGGCCTTTTCAGAGTCTTAAGCAATTGCATGTGGACGATATATACCATAAGAGTAATTTGTATTACTCCACTCTGTGACCAGAGATTCTTTACCCCAGTGTTATCTTAACCATTGATTATAGCTGTTTAGCTGTTTGCAAAAATGTTTTCCCACAGACCCAGGAAATAGGATTAACATTGGTCAAGATTCAGCTCCTGGGGTCAAAGATGCTAAGAAACTCTGAATATAGCATTTTAATAATTTACCTTGATTCTAATTTATTTTTATTTAATGGAATTTTCTGCTTAGGAAAGAAGACAGTAACACCTATAGAGGTAAGTTTTACTCCTTACAAACCACCTATAAGAAAAGTTCCAGTCAATGGCATACATAGCTCTACAACAAACACTCAGATGGGGTGGCCTTCTGAGGCTGAATAATAGAGGGTAGCGAATCATTCTTGTGATGTGATTAGGTTAACTTGGGGCTATATTCTTGGTTCTTAGTCTGGTTAGAAATAATTTTAATTTTGGTCTTATGAAACTTTGTTCATACTTCATAAGTTTTCATTTATGCCTGGTGAAGAACTCTTTGAACTTAAATATAAAATATTCAATTTGGATGTGCAATCAAAATGATATATGATGCAATCACATACATACTGTAGTAATCAAAACAGTTATTTTGCTTTTATGTCACAGTTTAGACTTGTGCTTTAGTATATGAGGCTAATGAGTATAATAAAATCTACAATGAAATTCAGAATTGAAAGCCATATGAACTAAATGAAAATATGTGACATGCAGGTGATAGATCTTTCTGCAGTTTTTATAGGAAAAGGTTTTCCTGAAGCACTTCCATATCTACCCAGAAGTTACAGTAGAGTAGGAATCAATCTGGTTTCTCATAGATTGAATTGAATGGACTCACAGAAATCAAAAATTTTTCAGATTGACTATATTTTGTGTTTCCTGGTAACATGAGACTGTGATCATATTACTAGGCAAGAAGATCCATACAGGAAGAAAATCTCGGAATGGTTTGAATATTAAGATGTTAAAAGTGTCCCAGAAATTCCCTTGCTAGTACACTATGAGAATGATCATCAGGTTCAGGAGCTAAAGAATATCAGAGTTATCAGAGTGAGTTACTACAACTGTTTTGAAAAGTGTGTATTCTGATAGGGGAGGCACACTTTGTAAATGTTTATGCTTACGTTGTGTAATGTGTGTCGCTGAAGTATAATGAACTAGTTTGCAATCAGGAAAGTGGAGAGGATAGTCATGAAAACCAGGACAACTGGATGAAGAAAGTAAGAGACAGGCTATAGAGGCGAACAGAGCTTTCTTAACTTGGTGAACACATGGTAGAAATGTTTTTAAAAATACTTTCAAGGCCGGGCGCGGTGGCTCAAGCCTGTAATCCCAGCACTTTGGGAGGCCGAGGCGGGCGGATCACAAGGTCAGGAGATCGAGACCACAGTGAAACCCCGTCTCTACTAAAAATACAAAAAATTAGCCGGGCGCGGTGGCGGGCGCCTATAGTCCCAGCTACTCAGGAGGCTGAGGCAGGAGAATGGCGGGAACCCGGGAGGCGGAGCTTGCAGTGAGCCGAGATCGCGCCACTGCACTCCAGCCTGGGCAACAGCGTGAGACTCCGTCTCAAAAAATAAAAAATAAAAAATAAAAAATAAAAATAAAAATAAAAATACTTTCGCACATTTTGAACCCCATTTTGGAATGATGCCTCGTTGCTGTTTGATATAGCCAACTATTTTCTGTAAAACTTGGAAGAATGTGCTCTACTGAAGTAGCCACTCTGTCTTCTCTGTGCCCTGTGCAGTTTATGCCTCCCATAAAGTGTTTATCACAGAATAACTGTTATTGTGAGTTTATGTATCAGTTACCATTTTAAGGATACAGGCCAAATTTCACTTATTTTATATTCTTAGTGTCTAGCTTCATACCCTGTACATAATATGTACTTAATAAATATTTATTGACTAAAGGTCCTATATACATCCATACAAATTCTACTTATCAGTTAAGACTCAACTTGAATCCCATACCTTCAATAGTGCCTTCTTGACTACTCCAGATTAAAGAATACTTATCCTGTAGTTTAAATTAAAACAACTGTCATTTATCTTGTTTATTTAATCTTGAATTTCCCAAATTAGGACAATGTGTCATTTCCCCCAACTCCCAGCCCTGCTCCATGCCACACACACCCGTTTTGGCCAGTGAACAGCTTGGGAAAGTGGATAGCACTTTTGTGCAGAGAAAATTGAAATCTTTTGCTCTAGGTATAAGCATCTCTGAACCAGAGTGCATGATTGGCAAAGGAATATGGACAGGATTTTAGCACCATCATTTCAGGTACCTTCGTGCAGTACACGGTCTGCACAACTGTATATGGCTGTCCAAAACATGATAAATGTTTTGATTGGATTGGATCAGGAGAGGTCCCCTGAGTTCTGGAGAGCAAACCAATAAGGAAGATCATGTACTACTTTCCAGACTGTTTTTGGCACATGCTGAAATGAGGTGCTACTTCAGAAATGGACCTTTCAGTGAGTCAGGCTTTTCATGTGAAACTTACTTTCTAGAATGAACTAAGGGGATATTTAAATCTTCTCGTCTACTGTGAGCTCCACTGTTTTGTGGTTACCCATTCTGCAAGGACAGCAATTGCCCATTCTCAAGGATAGCTAGAGAGCTATCATTTTACTCAGAAGCAGGAAGTAGTTCATTGGGAGATCGGGATTGTGTGTATTGTGTGTGTAATTGTGTGTGTGTGTTGTGTGTAAATTGTGCATGTGTGTGTGAGACAGAGAGAGGAAAGGAGAGCAAATGACCTCTGGTTTTGGAGTTAGAAATGCCCTATCTAAAAAACTTTCTAGATTTGATTGTTGATTTCATTTGAATTGCACTGGAACAACGTGGCACATTCTTTTTTTTTTTTTTTAATTTCATTGATTTTCTAGGAGTACACACTACATTTCTTGACAATGTATACTACTCATGTAAATTCAGTGTGACATATTGGAAGGGCAGCAGACTAGCTATGCTTTGAAATTATCCATCAAACATCGGAAATGTCAAGTTGTTTAGAAGCAAAGAAGCAAACAGAATCCAGAGAATGAGGCTAATTGGAATCTTAAATTATGTTTCTTTTCAGAGGCAGGTACTTGTTCCATTAGAAAAATGAAGTCAGTTGCATTCGGCAAGTTTAACTGAACTTTGTAGACCCCGTGAGTGTGCAGCCTTGTATCATTAAGGGGATTCATTAAATCTATTGATAGCAGCCCTGCCAGATAAGTAGTTTCCTGCCTGGGCCTTTTCACAAGGAGCTGCTGTTTGTCAGTTGCTTGCATCCTGTCACTAAGCTAAGTAATAAAATGTTGAAACTCAATGTGCTTTAATTACAAAATGACCACACCCAGTGAAAGATGTAAAATCTGATTTTAAACATGGAGAGTTATTTCTGGTTATGATCTCATGGTCTGCCAAAACAAAATAAAACAAAAACCCGAAGCATACTCAAGCAACATTGGACTCATTGCACTGAGCTTTTAGATACAAGCATCCTTGACGAGGCCAGACACTGTTCTGCACCCCCAGGGGAACGACTGGCCTTTCATTGATTTCAAAAGGCACTTCCTAGCTGGATCCACTCCCTAGGGATGTTAAGCAAGACTGTGAGCAGGGCCAAATTCTCAAGGCTGAATTCTCAAGGTTGCTCAAGAAAATTGGGAAACTCAGTAATAAAGAATAAAAGTAATAAAACCATGTTTTCAACTTTGCACATGTTGGCTAGAAGGTAGTACTCTCATATGCAAATATTACTAGCTTGTTGGCCTCCCCTGTGGTTATTACAATGTTAGTCAAACTATCTAGAAATTTTTTTTCTTTCCTGAAGCTTTTTTACTATTGAAATTTGAGTACCAGTAGAATTTTTGAATACAAAAATCATTGAAATGAAATTAAAGCCATAAATTACCTTCAAATGCTGGTGCTTTAGTTTGTCTTCCTCTATTTTCAGACGCTTCTGTGAGATTTCTTCCTGTATTTTTCTTTTATCCTGAAATAAAAAAGTTCCAGTATATTTTATTTTTAAAATTTGCTTAATTATGTTTCCTTGGGGTTGTTGGCACTGTCTGAATGGCTCGTTAGTGATTTTTTTTTGGCATTGGTGCGAAACTGCTTTGGAAACTCCTATTTCAAAGCAAAGGAGAGCAAAGTGAGACATTTGAAGCATTTTCCTGATGGGAAAGCACATGAAAAGGTACCTTTTCAAAGAGGGCTTAAACATCCTTCTTCACTCCCCTTTTCTTTCTTCCCCATTAGTCTAGCAAGATTGACCTACTGAGTGATGTAATCGAAAAAGTGAATTGTAAGGAGACAGTTTTGAAATAGATGTGAGGAAACATCGTGAGAAGAGAGACTGATCCTGGCCCAAGGTTTGAGAAGCTTCTGGGTGAAAGAACTTATGTGGCAAAACTGGTCAACCTATGGATCATTAGAAACACTAGGAAGTTGGAAAGTGGGACTGTTTCCTCCTTGTATAGCCTGCTATGGGAAGATAGAGGAAAATAGTTTAGATAGTGCTTCTTAACACTAAGAAGGCTTTTTAGCTCAGGTAAAACAAAACTCATGAAGATATATTGTATCTTTCACCAAGTTTAAATTACATTACTTCAGACAACCCAGAAAGCATAACTACTAATACAAAAAGGCTGTACTTTTAAGAAAATATAGCAAATATACTAAGTAGATAGCCTGGGTTTGACTTTTGCCTCCTCCACTTACTATCTCTGTGTCTTGGGACAAAATCCTTAGCTTCTCTGTGCCTCAATGACCTCATCTGTAAAATGAGGATACTGAGAGTACCTGCTTCATAAGATGTGAGCATTAAATGAGCTGATATATGTAAAAGTTTCTAGAACAGTGCTCGTCACAGTGCTCTAGAGGTATTTAATAACATTAAATAAATAAATATATAACTTGTTAACCACACAGAAAGCAACACATTAAATCTGACAGTGCTTTCATTAGCTTGAAATGTTTTAGAGATTCTCTGGAATTGTTTGAGACATATGACTAGTCATACAAAAAGGTCTTTATTTCCTCATTTTTGATCAGAGGTGACATTCTCTCCATCTTATTAATATGTGTTGGTTTTAAATCTGCTTTCAAAATTAAAAACTCCCAAAGGATGAAATTTTGTTGCCAATGAAGACATCCAAAAGAAGTAAGCTATAAAGGTAATTTAGAAGAAGGAGATCCAAAAATATTTGGCAGTGTTATTGATATAAGTGCATTATTGATATATAAGTGCATGGCTTCCCTGATGTGACTATTTTGAAGATAAAAACTCTTTTTTGATGTATAATTTCAGGTACATTTGTTGAAGAAAAGCAACATATTGCTCTCAAACTGTATGCTGTGTTTCTCTTTGCATGTCAGGAGAATATATGATTTCATCAGCTTATTATTATTATCGAGATAAGGTCTTATTCTGTTGCCCAGGCTGGAGTGCAGTGATAATCATGGCTCACTGTAGCCTTGATGTCCTGGGCTCAAACAATCCTCCTATCTTAGCCTCCTGAGTAGCTGGGACTACAGCGCGCACTACCATGCCTGGCTAATTTTTTGATGTTTTATTGAGACAGGGTCTCACTATGTGACTCGGGCTATATCAGCTTACTTTCAAAATTTCATAAGTATTTCTTTTGGAAAAAAAATAGCTAGGCAACAGGCATGCATCTTGAGAACCACTTCTTTCTTTGGATGAAATCTGGCCATTAGTAACAAAAACTCTGGAAGCCTCTGTGAGTCAGTTCTTCACTATCTCTAGAGGTTGTTATTGAGCAAATATTAATTATATTTTAAATTCATTGTGCCAAACATTTTGGTAATTATTTTTCAGGCACCATTTTACTTCATACTCATCATAACAAAGAGATACTATGATAATTTCCATTTACAAAGAGGAAATGGAAATTTAGGGGAAATTAACTCATCCAACTTTCATCTGACAATTGTCAGAGCCAGGATTTGAACCCAGGCAGTCTGAAGTCAGCCTCCACACTCCTAGCCAATTCACTGTGCCATTCCCTGGAGTGGAAAGTTAATCAAGCTGGTCACAAATTCTGCCTTTTTCTTCTCCTTCATGAAGTACTGTGGCCAGGAGGCAGCATTGGGACAACAAGCACTGAGTGTGACCTCTCATTAGCAGGGAGCACATTTTTAGCTCCCTAGAGGCTGGTGCTGCAACTAGCTCTCCATGAAAAGCCCATAGAGAAGAGCATGTTTTGTGTCGTGGACAGGATTGCTGAACTCAGCAATGCCTCCCCACTCCTGCTCATTGCCAGTTTGGGCTAGTTTGCCATTTGTGCTAGTTTCATCTTGGGGTTAGTAATCAGGTAATTGAATCTGTGGGTAGAGGCATGGCATCTGGAGTATTTTGGCAACACCAGGCTTATACAAGAGTTGCTAAGGAATACTAATGTTTTGTCACTCAGAGGTAATATAATGCCTCTCTTATATCAGTCTAGGTATGTAGGAAGGAAATTTCATAATGTTTATAGGCACGATCCTATTTTAAGATAGGTGTACTTTTTCCTCATAAGATATTCATCAGCACAGAGTTATTGTTTCTTTGCCAAATTTCACTGGACTCTGTTAGCATTAATGAAAAATAGTATGACAATAACTTTGTTTCAGTATAGCAGAATAAACTATAAGTCAACCTTAAGATGTTTATCTAGCTCGGTTGCTAGTGTACCAAAAGTTATCATCGTCAGCTAATTTCTTCCCAAATTTTCATGGAGCAAATAAATGTGAAATGCCATCTGCTTCCCCAAATTTCCCCAGCACCTGGAGCACTTCTATAGATAGCTGTCGCAACCTGGCACATCAGACGTTACTGGTTATTAACGTAACCATTATGAATAACATATTGTTGCTTATTTCTCAATGTTCAACTACCTTGACTTTTTGTTCAATGGGCATTTACCTAGATTTTTAGCCATCTGACAGCCTATTTTAGCAACTGACGCCCACAGATTTCAATCTGGAAAAGGTTATCTCTTAATTATTTTGAAAATTAATTTATTCACCTTGTACAACTATAAAGTTATTGTGACCATCCATTAATATGATCCAATGATATTAACGCAATCACATATTTGATAAAAAGTAAGCACAATGCTTGAGAGTATAAGTATTTTAGTTATATTATTGATTAACAATGTGCTAAATTCTAATATGCCTAATCCTGTCAAGAAGGCAGAATTGCCTTCTTGTTTGATTATTGATTTATTCAACACTTAGCTACTTATGTGCAAATGCTATATTCAAGATGACATTAGGAGTTGTGCAGTGTTTAAAAATTATTTGGTAGATGTGAGTTTACATTCTTTTTTTTTTTTTTTTTTTTTTAGACAGCATCTTGCTCTGTCACAGAGGCTGGAGTGCAGTGGCATAATCGTAGCTCACTGAAGTTTCAATTTCCCAGGCTCATATCATCCTCCTGCCTCAGCCTCTCAAGTAGCTGGGACTATGGGTGCACATCACCACACCTGGCTATATTTTTTATTTTTATTTTTAAGAGACACAAGGTCTTTCTGTGTTGCCCAGGTTGGTTTCAAACTCCTGAGTTCAAGTGATCCTCCCACCTTGGCTAAAGAAAGCAATTTGTGCAAGTAACTATAGTCTAAGAAATAAAGTTATTACATGTAATAGTTTTTCTTTCTGTCTTTACTTTTTTTTTTTTTTGAGACAGAGTCTTGCACCATCATTTAGGCTGGAGTGCTAGATTGTAGTGGCACAATCTTAACTCACTGCAACCTCTGCCTCCTGGTCTCAAGTGATTCTTGTGCCTGAGCCTCCCGAGTAGATGAGATTACAGGCATGCCCAACCACGCCCGGGTCATTTTTGTATTTTTAGTAGAGATAATGGAGTTTTGCCATGTTGGCCAGGCTGGTCTTGAAATCCTGGCCTCAAGTGATCCACTTGCCTTGGCGTCCCAAAGTGTTGGGATTACAGGCACGAGCCACGGCGCCAGCCAACATATAATAACTTTAGTAGTAACACATGTTATCACTAAGGCACTAGTAAGGATGCAGGTTGAGGGGAGACAGGGAGAGGTTGTTCCTAGCTGATGTCATTAAGAGAAACTTTGGAGTAGCATCTGAGTGGAATATTTTTGGGTGGTTACAGTGGGGCTGGGGAGTAGGGAGAAAGGGCATTCAAGTCAAGGGCTTGATGTGAGCAAAGGCCTGGAACCAGTACACTGGGACATTATTTAAAACAACAAGTCTGGAATCTAAGTTACCATATAAGGAGTAGCAGGAAATTAAGGACAACCAGATGAGGATAGATTCTCAGTAGCGAATACTGAATGGCATGACAAAGGGTTTAGAATTTATTTACATATTGAGATAAGGAGCAATAAAAAGTTTTCAGGGGAAGAAGAATCATAGAGTTAAAAGCATGTTTTAAGAAGTTGAATATGGCCTCATTGTATAGTTGCTGTGGAAGGGAGAGAACACAAAGAGGAGAATCAGTTAGGCCACTGCACAACTCATACATAAGGCCATGAGAGCGTGAATGAGAAGGAGCAGAGGTTATGGATGTCTGAGTTAATAAGGAGTTAGATTTGTCAGGACTTGGCAACTGATGACATCTCATTGAGGAAAAGGAAAGTGTCAAATGGAATGTAAGGCTCTTATGCTTAGGAAACTGATGGGAGAGCAGAATGACACATAGAAATAGGAGTATCAGGAGAAGGAAGATTTTGGGAAAAAAGATGATGGATTCACCAAGTTTGAGGTGACCTTGGGCCAAATAGGTGGAATTATCTGCTAGGCAGTTGGAATGTTGGATGGAGGGAGATGAAGAATCAGAGCTAGAGATAAAGATGTGGGAGTTTTGAAAGGGATAGATGAGAGCAATGGGAGACATTTTTTATGAAAAGAAAAGGAGGCTAAGGAGAGCCTCCATGAAGCACCTACCTTTAATGGGTATAGGAGAAGGGGAACCCATGTGGAAGTTTATTTTGGGTCAGTCTGATATTA